TTAAAAAAAAAACATCTGGCCAGACTCAGTGCAAATGCCTTTAATCCCAGCACTCAGAAGGCAGAGGTAGTCAGATCTCTATGAGTTTGAGGCCAGTCCGGTCTATACGATGAGTTCTAGGCCAGCCAGGACCCTGTCTCAAAAAAAAAAAAAATTTGTCTGTTTCCTATTAGAAGTTCATGTAGACATTACACATACAGCGTAGGCTGACAGTACCAATTGCTCCCGAGACAGATGTGGACAGAACTTCCAGGGGATGCTCACCTGTCACTTGGTGGCCTGGGCTCCTCTTGCAAGTAACTTTGGGTATTTCACCTTCGCACCTTTGGCACCACATGCTTTCTTGCAAAATGTCTATCTTGTGGCTTTGAATCTTCCTGTGACACGATGTCTTCTATGTCACCCAGCAGTGTGCCACAGGACACAGAAGGCATCTTTTCTAGCACATAAAAAAGCTGTAAATGACACAGGTTTATGACAATCTGCTTAGCACTGGATCACTTAAACATGTCTCACCAAACTTGAACCTCATCAACTCTTCAAAGTCTAAGTTCACAGAAAATACAGTGAGCAATCACACAAGTTGTATAGATAGTAGAACAGTCCCTGGTTAGACTGTAACTGTTTCTTAATTCAGCACCACAAAGAACAAAGAAAGACAAGGCCTTTTCAGGAGAAAGGAAACTGAAAGCCCAGCGACTCCCCCAGGCACTGGCGCTGAGGCGATGACCACCACAGCCTCCAGTGCTCTGGGGAAACCTCATAGAAGAGATGGTCTGCCCAACTTTAAGACTCACTGGAGAGCTACACTAATCAAGACTCACACTGATGGGGAGAGAAACACAGAAAAACAGAAACCAAAAGAACAAATAGCAGAACCAGGCCCACAAAAGTACAAGCAATTCAACGGAGGAGAGACAGGTTTTCAATACTGAGTGCTAAAGCAATGAGATATTTCAAGGCAGAAAGCCTGACTGCAACATCAAGACACTGAGAGACAGAAATGTTCTGTACCTCCACCATGTCAACATCAGGACCCTGGTTGTGAGAATGTGTCATTGCCAATGAGAGGCTTGGGTACAGCTCACAACATCAGCATGATTTTTAAACTGTGAGTCAGTCTGTAGCTATGTAAGAACAGTATGTGAGGGGAGAGCAGCACTACTAGGTGGTGCACTTGAGGGACAAGGAGTGTGGATCTACCAATGCTGTATCCTTGGTGAAGCAAGTCCCTTACTGGGTCATCACATCAACCATGCCCAGCTCTGTAAGGCAGGAAGCAGTCTATCCTGACTTTAAAAATAAGCAAATGGAAGCACAGAGACATTAGCTTGCCTGAAGAAGCCCAACGAGGCTTCCACAGAGGATGAGTCCCAGACCACATGAAGGGTGGTATCCACAGCTATTAATACACATGCCCTGAGTGACCACTTTCCTCATCCAAGTCAGCTGAACTTCAGTCTTTTTGAGACAGGGTGTCTCTCTGTAGCCCCAGCTGGCCTGGAACTCTCAGAGATCCTCCTACCTCTGCCTCCCTCAAGCCTCTCAGATGAACCTTCCTTTCCCTCACTGCCGGATTCCCATCTTTCTGCTCACATCATTCGGTTAACAGAGTGGCTTCCTGCCAGCCTATTTTTGTGCCCTGACTTTGCAATGTATGCTTTAAAACTATGAAAACCTATGCATGTCAATCAGCTAGGCCTTTATTCAAATCTCAGCTAATTTACATTGTTAGTGAAGAACAGGAGCTCCCATAGGCAGAGTCAGGGGAGGGGCCCAGACTAGGTTCATCTGTGTTCCAATGACTTTCTCTTTCACCCAACATGGCCC